CCGCTCTCTTTGCAGGGGCTTCGTGTGCATCATCACCAACGTAGCCTCGAAATGAGGCAAAACGGACGTAAACTACACTCAGTTTGTTGACCTGTACGCCAGATACGCTGAGAAGGGTTTACGCATCCTGGCCTTTCCCTGCAACCAGTTTGGAAAACAGGTACGTGGGAGCGCGGGAGGAGCCCGCGCAGCGGCCGGGGGGCTCCACGCTCAGTGGGAAGAGGCCGAGGTGGCAGCCCCGTGTTTCGCCTCCCGCAGGAACCTGGGGACAACGCTCAGATTAAGGCATTTGCTGAGAAGTACGGGGTGAAGTTTGACATGTTCAGCAAGATCGACGTCAACGGGGACAATGCCCTCCCGCTGTGGACGTGGATGAAGGCGCAGCCCGCGGGAAAGGGCACCCTGGGCAAGTGAGTTGGAGCAACCGTGAGCCCCGGCGGTGCCGGGAGACCCTGCAGTGGGGAGGACAGGGAGGCCGCGGCTGATGGAAACGGGTGGCCTGGCTGCAGCAAGGGGAGTTGTTTTCATCACAGACTCACCTCTGTCTTTTTTTTGTTCCTTTTAGCGCCATAAAATGGAACTTCACCAAGGTAGGATAGTGCTGCTTTGTGCTGGGCTCTGGGGGTGGCTCGGCGAGGCCCTGATCCGGGGCTGCAGGGAGAGGGATCCGTGTGCGCGGGCGCTGCTCCCTGCAGGCGGATCTGCCCCCAGCAACTGCCGCGCTCACCCGGGTGCTTTTTCACTCCTGCAGTTTCTTATCAACCGCGAGGGCCAAGTTGTGAAGAGATACAGCCCCATGGAGGATCCCTACGTGAGTCCTTGGGGAGGGCAGCGCTGCGGTGCCAGCTGCTCCCGCAGGCCGCGGGGGAGCCGTGCCCAGAGGAGGCTCCGTCCCGAGCTCTTCCCGCCCTCCCTTGGCCTTGCTGCACCCGAGGGCAGCCCGCTGGGGGTGGCTTCCTTTGGGGACAGCAAAGTGCTCAGTGTGACGCTCCCTTCCTCCCCCAGGTGATTGAGAAGGACCTGCCTCGGTACCTGTAGCCCCGCTCCTGTCACCCCTGCTGCCCTGGCACTGGCTGTCCTGCTCCCTGCTCCCCCCTTCTCCAGCTCCAATGACGGTCTGTCTTGAAGCCAGCTCGCTGGTGAGGCAGACCCGAAGATTTGGCGTGCACCGGCTGGAGGAGGCGACCCAGGGCCCCCGGCCTCTGCGGGGCAGCTCCTCTCCAGGCGCAAAGCAGCAGCTGATGTCCCCTTGCAATAAAGTTACGGGAAATGCCCGACCGTGTCCGGCTGGTGCCCTGCGTGCGGGGAGAAACGAGGGCTCTGCGGGGCAGCTAAGACCTTACGCAAGTCCTGCCTCAGCTCCCTGCGCTGAGCCCGGCAGGGATAATCCTCATTAGGGCTGAGGGGGGAATTACACAAATCCTGGGTGAGCTGGAGCATCAGAAGGGCTCAAACATGGGAAAAGGCAAAACAAGGTGAAGGAACGTGGGTAGCTGTGTGGATCCTCTCCCCTGGGATCCCTTTTTCTCACGGAGCAGCAGGGAGGTTAGAGGATCAGGTAGTTTCTGCTGGAGCGAGATGGGGTTGGGCTGAGGGCAAGTGAGATCAGAATAAAAACAACCCTGGGCCCTCCCGGACCTGCCCGTGACCCCAGTGCAGCCCTGGGGCCTGGCAGGGCAGCAGGGACCTGTTGGGGCAGGGCAGGAGCTACGGCCAGAGGCAGGAGAACGTGGGAAGGCCCTCGTGCCGAAACGGGGCTGCGGTGCCGGCATGTGGGATCCTCATCCCATGGGACAGGATCTCCCTGTGCTAAGGATCCTCCCCGGGAACACGGGCAGCGGCCGCGCGGGCAGGGAATCGCGCTCCATCCTGCCCCAAGTTGCGCAAGGGCGAGGAAGGACTCGCTGCGACTCCACAAGCAGCCCCGGCTCCCACGCCCAGCTCCAAGCGGGATAACGAGGACGGAGCAGGGAGCAGCGGAGCAGGATCCGCTCCTGCTGCAGGACCCGGGCGCCCTGCGCCTCCCCCGGGATCCCTGCGGACAGACACAGAGCTGGGACGCGCAGAAATCCTGCGTGCGACTTCCTTTCCATTTTTACTGAGCAGAATGAAAAATTATCCTTCTGAGGCAAGTAGAAAATTTAGGAATTATTAGTCAAAGGCACATATTCTAAAAAAAAAAAAAAATCTCTTTACATATATACATTTCACTTAATTATAAATACACATAGAAAAACAAAGGCAAACAACAAGCAGATTAAAAAGTGCTAACAAAAAGTTTTAAGGGAGGAAAAAAAGGATTCATTTAAAAATACATACAATCAGTAGGACAAATGCATAATAATTTAGTTAAAAGGTATCGTTACATATTATTAACCCTGACAAAAACAGGATTGGGGCAGGGAAGGGTTTCCTTGAAGGTGCTCTGTCTTTCCAGAGGTCAGGGAGGGGGGATTGCATATATTTTAAAAGTAACATCAAAAAGCCACCCTAGAAGACAGCAGGTAACGGGGCTCTGGTCCCTCCCGGGGAGAGGTGCCTGGAGCGGGAATACCTCGGTGCGATTCCTGAGTTTATGCCTTTTTGAAATGGGTTTTCTTGGCGCCTGTTTTTCTCTTGCCGCGGAGAATCCAGCGAGCGCCAAGCGAAGGAACCAGGACGGGGCGAATCCAGAGCGGAGCGGCCCCTCCGGGTTATCCATGAGCGTGGAGGGCTGGGAAGCATCTTAAATAGAGGAGCGCGGCGGGAAGGGGGGCCCTGCTCGGGCCTAGGGAAAGGCCGTGGTGTCTCCACGGACGGGGGGACCCCGGGAGCTGCGGAGGCCCCGCGGGGAGGACGTGGATCTTTGGTGTTTATTTGAGGTAAGGGGCTCTCCTTGCACGCGCGGCCAGAGCGCTCGGAGCGCTGCCCGGAGGCAGGAGCCGGCCCGGGAGAACGGGGACAACTAGAAGCCCCCAAACCGGGGGGCACGTCCCAGGCTGGGCCTCCTTCCCCAGGTGCCTCCCCGAGGAAGGGCTGGGACAGGCAGGGCAGGTCTCAAGTTGTTCCCCGGAAAAAATCCCAGTGCTGCTTCCAGGGAATGCCTAGATGATTCCAGGCAGAGAAAAACACGGCAGCAGGAGGCTCGCGGCAGGGAGAGAGCAGGGGCTGGTCTCCCCAGGACCTGCCGAGGCCGAGACGCTCCCGGAAGGGCAGCCAGCGCCGGGGGAGGAGGCCGAGGGGGC